TGATAACTCTTAATGCTGTTATACCCAAATGTAAATGTATCAGTAATATTTTTAAGTCATACATTAGACAATAAAGTATTTGGAAAGTCAAGTAATCATTTCTTTCACTTTTAATGAAGCACTCTTTTTTTACTCTTTTTTTGAGCAGTTACCAGAGTGAGCCCCTATTCATGTAGAATGCTGTGAGAAGGAACCTTAAAGTTTTCATTCTCAGTGGTATCCTATATGTTACATTTCTCTACCTGTATTTCATTTATATGATATATCTGATGTTTTCCCCTCACTGATCTCTCTGAAAACTTCTGCCCTTGTAAAATATATTAAATGAAAACTTCCTTTCCAAGGGTTACCTTCAGTTTTTTCAAAATCAAACTGAGAACCATCCATCTTTAGTAGCATAATCAATGATCTCTAAGGATGTTTACATAGTGGAGAAAGCTAAGCTCATTTTAAGCCACCTTCTTCACTTGCATATATCTGATGTATGGCCATGGCATCAGAGATGTGAGCAGAGTTTAATTTATCCTGTCCCTTATTTGACTTTTGGGGTTTGTCCTACTGAGCTAACGAAAAAAAAACCAACTCAACAACAGTCTCTTCTGGCTCTTCAGTGCATTCGCTACTCTTTTCTTAAAGTAATAGAAATGATTGCTGATTTAACACTTAGGACAGACACTGAATTATCCAGAGAAATACAGGGTGGAATTAAAATCTATATTTTTGGGTGTTTTGGACAGAGATGATGGATTAAGGAAAAAAAGGATGTATGGATCAGATAGATACAGTATATTTGAACTTGTGCGCCTACTTTACAAGTTGGCGCTTATGTGAGAGTCCCTCTATATGAAAATAAGAAATATTATGGCCAAATTCTGTATTTGTTTTTTTATGTCAGGTACTACAATATCTCACCATATGCAAATTTTTGTGGCATTGTTGGGAAAAAGCTTAAGCGGCCACTTAATATATGCAGCTGTTTATAAAATCAAGACTAGCCTATATTTGCATGTGGATACTTTTCTGATAAGTACTCATTTCAGTGAATTAATAAACATGAAACTTCAAGAGGCAACTTACATTAAACGTTAATCTTTTAGGTTATTCATTTACTCAGATTTACAGTTAAAATATTCCTGTCAGAAGGCAAGTACCATTTATCTAATCCAGCTTCCTATGAAAATACACTTAGGTGATTTGGGGAGTCTTCAATTACCTAATCGTATAAGAGAATAATTATATTTCTCACAGTCAGTAACTTGTGATGTTGATTATTACTCAATTTTCAGTGAAAGATCAGACAATCTACCCAAGGCACTACATACCTTGAAATATCTACATATATTTTACTAAGAATGTTAAATGAATAGTGACCTGTGAAATAAAGATCAATATGCTGTGACACAGTATTTTAATAATCACAAGGATGAATATATCATTTGCTTCAGATGGTTGAAAATGAAAATTTAAGACTCCAAGGCCATTCTTGCTTTCAGATTAGTTTTGGCAAGATTCCAAAAATATGTGAGATTTAAATAAATACAGTGTTTCTTCAGATTACAACAGCAAACTATTTACTGGCTTATTTGTTATCTATCTATCACCCAACATATTTTGCTAATCTCTGCTCAAAGGTTGTTCAGAAAGTCATTCTTAACTTGGGGAGTCGTGTAGTGGCTCTCAGGGTGTTAAAGAAACACCACATAGAGTTGAGGGCCATTTCTCAGGAGCAGTTTCCAAACAGGAAGCCACATTAAAGATGTGATTTATGCCCATAACTTAGATATTTTGGGTGAAATCCTTGCCACCTGAAAATTAATGGCCAAGCTTCCATTAACTTCAGTTTAGCCAGATTGTCAGCACCAACTGCTAAAACACTCATGAAGTGATCTTCCAGATTTAAGTTCTAAGAATACATCGTATTAAAAAAATAGATTTTGCTATTTGTTTTTATATATTCTCTCAGGTATTTGAATCTGTGCCTTTTCTTTGAATTAACTAATTTACTTGCAAATAGCACAAGTTATAATAATAATTACTGTCATTAAAATAGACTTTTTGCTAAAAAATGTTTCCATCGTTGAACTTTAAAAACAGATCCCTTCTATGCGCCCTTTGATACAGGTAGTCACTGAGAAGGATACTTAAACTGTACGGAGTATCATCAAATGACTTGCAGGTTCAAAACAAATAATAGTGCTGCTAAATCATAAAGCAATTGTTCAAGCCATGGACTTCACATCGGTTTAAAAAGCCGTTGGACATATCCATGCAATAAATATACCTATGAATAATTATATGCAGACATACATGGTTGGTCTAGGAAAATCCTGAATGTTCAGAGAATAAACTGAGGAAGAGTAAACCAAGAAGTACCACTTCCCACATGCCCGAGTAAGTTACCTTAATAGCTCATCAACCTTGTTTAGAAAAACCCACCTTATTTAAGTTATGTTTTTTGGCTAGCTTTGGCTTCAACTTGTGCCTATCATCATGCCTTTCCTCGTAAGCCTATAAAGATAGCATTGAAAATATTTTACCTAGAGAGGTACTTGTGGTCTTGATTTGACTGGATCAATTCTCCAATCTTTTTTTCGAATAGAATATGTTAACGTCTTGGTATAAGGCATGTTCTCCAGAACTCATATAATTACTGTGGTTATTTTCTCAATTCTTTGAAGTTATTCAGTATCCTTTTTGTAGTGTGGGCACCAGAAAGTAGCCGCAGTATTTCCTTCGTAATTTTCCTAACATCATGTTCTGAAATAAAATCAGTCTTGTATTTGTTGTAGATGTTATCCTGCTTATACATTCAAAAATCATATTCAGCCTCTTATGTAAAGCATCACAGTAGGAGATAATCTTCATTTGATTACTTTCTATGACTCTGTATTTCTTCTCAGTCACTGCTTTCCAGGACACCATCTTCGTTTTGTAATTATCACCTGCATTCATCCTTAACTGATGAATAACTTCGCATTTCATGTGATGTTTGAAAGGATTCCTTTCACCAAGAAACTGCATGACTGGTCCATCTCCAGCTATCATGTCTCTAAAGACTTAATTAAGGGTGATCGTCATCTCAAATTTGTCCTTACCTGAAAAACTGTAGAATATCATCATGTTTTACTCGTAATCTAGAGTCAACATTGAGGGATTAATTTCATTTAGATATTTCCATAATGACAGGGTGTCATTTCATATGTTTATGGTCATGTGGGGTTCATTATTGCACCATGAGGCATGAACTTTATCTGATCAGGTCTACTTCACAAGAGGTTAATGGTTCATTGATAGCAAAGTTAAGTACTAGTGTAGATTGTTTATTGCCAGAGATGAGAGAAATATTACCAAATGACATTAAAAATTCTGAAGATGTGAGAATTTGGTAGTCTGAGGGATTATTTAAAAAGGTGAAGATTAATGTTTTTATTGAAGGGGAGAATAGTAACATTTTATTCTAAATAGTACTTCTGCATGGAAAGGGGAAGGATGTATTCCAAATTGAGACCTTCTTTTGTGAGACAAACTCAGAGATGTAGTAATTTTTTTCAGAAGAAATTTTTCTTTAGTCCCATGATTTGATAGTCATTGATGTCTTGAAAGCTGGATAATCGAGAGAAGCTGCTTGCAACAGAGGTAAGGATAGGCAGATGTAAGCAGTTTTCTGTTTTCTCTTATCAGTCTTTGTGACCTTTGTAACTGTGTTTCTGTATTTGAAGCTGATGTAAATAAATTATTTTCTTTTACCTTTACTAGGCTTTTCTCAAGAGTGCATTTAGAATAAGTGTCAAACAGGACATCCTATCCCTTTGTGTAAGGATTTCTTTAAAACTGAATTACTGTATAACTTCTTCGGGGTATAGAACCACTTTGAAATTTCCAGGGCATTCAAAGGATAATAAAACGTGTCTCTACTAAACAGCATGGATTATTTTGTAACTTTCAATTTTCTCAATGTAGAAGATGCATCCCATTTTGCGTGATGCAAGATGGTAGGAATACTGCTGTTGAATGCTAGTGGTGATGGCAAAGTTTGCGGCACTATAATTCCAACAAGCTTTGTGTCGTCTGTAAATTTGATCAGTAATAATCATAAATTTCATTCCATGTTATTAATAAATTACAGACTGCGCATTAGTGTAAACCAATCAAATATTTTTCTAGATGATTTATGAATGATGAGATCCAACAATTAATCAGTTTTTTAATTATCTAACGTTAACTTTCGTATGTGTCGTATTTCTAGTAAGAAAGCTAGGCAGAACTAAGACAAATACTATTGTGTCAGCCTAATTTATAACTATGCCAAATGATTTTGCAAAGTGTATTTGATAAAACTTAGCCCTATGTGCTAATGGCATTAATTGAATTGCCATCTTCTCTCAGCATATATCATGAAAAAAATATTAACAGCTTCAACTTTTCAGAGACTTTTGTTTACTATTGGAATATCCACTTTAGCATTTCCTAACATACAAATCAGCTTTTTTTTCTTACAACCGTAAGGAGTAGATCTTCTGTTAACATAATCTTTGTTTCAAGATAAGCTGCTTACAGCACGTGGCAGGTCCTGGAGCAATTTGGGAAATTTTTAATGTAAGTTTGCAGTATCTTAAGACCTAGAGGTTTTGGGTTCCATGTTATGTTGTGGAACTCTGAGGATCTCTGTCACAGGTGACTGAATTTCGAAAATTAGGGGTGAGATGTAAGAATGAAATCTGTGCTAAAAGCCCTAAATTTGCACAAGTCATAATGTAATTAACTTCTACATCTTGTTGAATGCACACAGTGATTCTTGTTCTCTTTAAAAAGCTTTGAGATCCTTATATGAGATGTACTACACAAAAACCATTTTTAGTTCATTAATTCTTTGTGCAGAATTGTAGGGCTCTTGAGCTCTTCAAAAACAATATTGGTCTTGGATATCTACAGCTAAGTATAATGTCTGTTTTACATAATGTCTTTTGGGCTTTAAATACCAAATCTCTTTTCTCTTACAGAGAAGTTGATCAGGATTCTGATGGCTGCATCAGCTTCAAAGAGTTTGAATCTACAATGAAGTACGGACAAGATGAAGTATCACCAGAGTACTTTGCCTAAAGAATATTCTCTGGCGAAAAGACAAAGTGAAAACTTCAGATCTCAAGATATTTAAAAATCAATGAAACTTCATTTGTTTCAGCCAGCATTTTAAGAACTTTGACTGTAAGCGTAGCTCTGAAGAACAGCCTTTGAAGCTTTACTGTTGACAAGTTGGGTGTATTAATTTACATGTGTATGTGTGTGTAGAATACTTAAAATATTTGAAATCTCAATTGATTCCCAATCCCCCCAGTTAGGAACTGCAACTCTGTACTTTTCTTTTTCAACTTTCAATGCTGAAAAAGAAGCAACTCTGATTTCCACTTACTGTGACATTTATTTGTTCACTTTTTCAACAGCCCTTTGTTGACAGACCAAAATATCTCATATATATAGAAAATTATTAAATTTATAGCAGATTATAATGCCTATTGTCTTTCCTTTATTGTTTTACTATCATATATTGCTCTTTTTTATATATTACACGTTATTTTTAATTTAACATTTATTGGTTAATTAGCTACATGATTTAACTCTGGACAATTATCAAGAACTGTGTATGTAAGGAAGCAAAGTAAGCTTTTATTTTTTGAACAGGGTGAGAATAAATCTTTAACGTGTACATCATAGACATCAGTCTTGCAGGCTGAAAATTTTGTGTATTCAAACCTTCAGCTGGCTTTTAGGGAAGAGTTCGGATAAATATAGTTCAGCAAGATGAGAGAATTTCCCAAGAGTTGAGGGCAAGTATAATGTAGAATCTGTCATTGTCTACAAAGCCATCTTCCCCTCTCTATCTCTCTCTCTCTCTCTCATATCCAGTAACTGGGAGATGATCTTACCTGCTGTAACTTTATATATATCCATCTGAGGTGTGCTATACGGAGATAAATCTTTCCAAATCAATTTATTCTATCTATGATCACTTACTTCCTACTGCCTTGGCGTGTTCATATTAATAGTGACAGATAACAGGAATTTTATTATGGGTGCTGTCTCTGATCATATGGTCCATTCTATTGCTTCATTTCTGTTTACTTGCCAGTTGTTAAGTCTCTTGGATTAGAGGTGGCTTTTGAAATTGTCCAGAAGCAATCCCTCCTGAAGTGAGTTTACAGACTGTAGCATGTACTGAATACTGCTGTAAATGAATAACAAATAATAAATCATAATGATCAGTAAGAGGAAATGAATATCCACTCTACTCTTAAGTCAAAAGAGTCTCCAATTTCCCTCAAATTTTAGTGAGTCAGCCCAGAGTACCATTTATAGGTGAAGTATTTATAAAATTATGTCTGTACTTTCTGTTCCCATTACATGTATGTGTCTTACAGGTACAGGCAAAGTGAAATCTTTCTGGTTTTTTAATACTAAGGCAGATAATATATAAATAATGGGAGGAAGTTTGAGACATTGAATATATCCACAGATATATCTGATTCTGAGCTATAACTCAAATACCATGCTTTATGTACTAATCAGTGGGAGTGAACTGGTGTTACCTTTGAAAGATGATGGCAAGGCATGCTAATAGATCGGAGCTTTTCCCTTAGAAATGCCATTCCCCAACAGATTAATATTTTCATAAGAGAGTCACTACCAAGAATGTTAATTTGCAATATCATCAGAGACTCTTCTGAGATGCCGGAGACTGAATCATTATCCTCCAGGGATAGTTGCTGCGGGTCTAGATATATTTTTTTGTGGTGCTCAGATCCTGTACCCTTCTGAAACACTGAATCCCTGCAGCATTATTTTGTTATGATACATTATTTTATTCTTATTTATTATTTTACTTATTTAAAACATATGTAGTTCATAAGGAGCCGTTAAAAAGTCTGTGGCCTCTTGTTTGTATTTCTAGTCCAGCTGTGGTTTGTTGTCTAAATATCTGACAATACATCTGCTATATGGTACAAGTATATTTTCTGTTAAATATTGTAACAGGCAGAAATGTCTTTGTATGCTTTTCATTTTAAGAAATATGTATGTCTTGTATATACAGCATGGAACTCTAGAGTGCAAAGTGCTTTCTGTCTCCTTTATTTCCATATGCTCTCCATCCTCCTTTTCTCAATGACTTGAAAAGTTGCTATGAACTTGAATTACTGAGAACATGCACTCCAGGAGAGGCCAGTGAAATTATTTTACCACATCAAATTATTTTTTTTTTTAGAAAGAACAGAACTGTATTAAAGGATTGACAGTGTTCTCATTTTGCCTCCCATGGGGACAGAAAGAAACTGCGTAGAACTGAGTAGGAACTGCATGGAACTGAGTAGGCCCTGGTGGCACTCTTCCTGCTGAATAGTTGAGTAAAAATTAATTACTAGTTAGTGCTTGTCTGGATTTTGGCTATAAAACTGCAGAAATGTTTCAGCTATCTCTACAAGTTGGTAAAATTTAGGAATGGCACTTAGTAGGTGGACTAGGCAATAGACTGTTCTCAGTCATGGCTTGGGAAGCAATAAAAGCAGTATCTCCTCTGCTATTGGATGAAAGAGGCCACCTGCTCTTCATTTCTGTATGTTTCCTGTTGCTGATATAAAAGCTTAACATGAAAGGTCAACATGAAAGGATTGGCAGAGCTAAGAGCTACAATCAGCCTTAGTTTACAAGCTGCAATTCTGACAACTCGTGACAACTCTAGAGTGACATAAAATGGTGTTATACGCTCCTTAGCAGGTTGCATTCTTATCTGCAGCATTTCCGAGCATGTAGGGACATCAGTGATGTGGGTGATACAAGCCTAGATAAAAAGTTTTCTTTTGTTTAATCACTACTGTCTCTGGCGCAACCCTGGGAACTGAATTGCGGCTGAACCTCCAGCACTGAAAAAATGAGTTGCAGTAACTAAAGAGCCATAGCTCTTTAACAAATAGTTATTCAGATACCCTATGGAACAGCACAGAGGTGGATCAGATTTTCAGGATTTACATACGAGAACGTTATACTATCTTTTCCAAGTTAATGAACACATTTGCTTTCTTACTATGTAGACTTTTTGTTGATTTCTGGCACCTCAGTTACTTAACAAGCAGAATTCCCTTGTTAAAAGTATCCGTAAAATGAATATTTACTTTTCTCTCATTTTCAAGTGAGGAATCATCCATTTAAACTATTTGCAAATGGATCCTTTATACACATGGCTTATTGCTACCATTTTATAGCAAATAGATGGATTGTATAACCATAAATACTATCAAAGTATTGTTTCCCTGAGGCTTCTGTACTTCACTATAGCTGTTGACATCTGCTAATCTGTAATTTCCTTTTAATGGATTTGGATGATTTAGACTTTTTACGAAGGTCTGTAGTGACAGGACGAGGGACAGGTTTTAAAATGAAAGAGGGTACGTTTAGATTGGGCAGACTGCTCAGAGAAGTTGTGGAAGCCCCATGGAAAAGTTGGAGGAGTTCAGCATCAGGTTGCGTAAGGCTTTGAGCAACCTGATCTAGTGAAAGTTGTCCCTGCCCATGGCAGAGGCCTTGGACTAGATGGCATTTATAGGTCCCTTCCAACCTAAACCATTATGGGATTCTATTATTTTATCAACTGAATAAATGCTTGTTAAACTATGGTCTTTGTGCAACATAATATTCCTGGTAGCCTGCACAGTATATTATCCAGCGCAATCTGAAGAACTTTGACTGAAAAAGAATTTGGACAATTAAGCCTGATATCAAGACTGTCCTCATTGAAACACTCTGTTTACGTTTTTCCTAGTGATTCAAATAATGAGTATTTCATCCATTTATTTCGTGGCCAAAAGGATCACAAGATAAATATGTGCAGTACATCACAGAATATGCAAAATGTCCCCGTAAGTTTCCTAAAATAAAACTTAGTGTAAAGATAGTGCACTGGGTTTGTGACTGTGTTACTGTGTCTTCTATCTTTAATCAGCTGGGTGGGTGGTGGCTGACAAGTCAAACTCAGTAACTAGCTGACACATAAAATGTCACAGTTCAAAGAAAAACTTTGGCACGACTCTCATTTACTATAACATACCAGCTTTGCACTTCTCTGGCAATGAAGTGCAGTCTTAAAATTATGATGAATTACAGCTGCATCGCTGCTTTGATTCTTTAACACTGTTCTTTGGGAAGGCTGCCCAAATATAAAAAAGAGTCAGATCTGTTTGTATAAATTTTTGTGCAGAGGTTGCCAATAACAATTTGAAAAAAATAGGTTGCACCGTTGTCCATGAGACACAGGAATAACAAGTGGTGTTTTTTTAACCCTAGTTATTTAAGGATCCATGTCTGAGCCTCTTATTTGCAAGAAATAAAAAATTAGTGGTGAATTTTAAAATAGCCCAGAGGTCGCACATACATTAAGATTTTGGCTCAAAACGTACTGTGGCTCTGAAGTGAATCCCATGATCTTCCCCCTGATCTTCCTGTGTGTTCGTTCAGTCTGAGAAGTCATTATGGTGAGTGTAAATCCAGATTCATTAGGAGAAGTCCACTCTAGGGATGCATAAAACATGCTTCGGTATCTAATGGAGACATGAGTCTGAATGATGACTAGCTTGCACCGCCATGAAGTTCTCCAAGGCCTCCAGCATTTATCAAGCAGTCCGGCTGACCATCAGCAAAACAGTCACAGCAGCAAGGCACCCCATTCTCCATGTCTGGTTTTTCATTTGAAAGAAAAGCCAGTGAGATGGCCATCACAGGGCCCCCTTGGATTTGTTTCCATGGCTCCAAACCTTCATTAGTCCCTTCAATGGGACTTCTGGATGTTGGTCAAACTTAGCGTAGGGGCAGAGTTTGGCAACCAGCATCAAACTGTCAGCCAGAAGTGAGCAGGAACACAAATAATGCTGCTTTTAAATTTGACACCATTAGGAGACAGCAGTGATAATGTTCCTGTCTTCTGAGTGAGACAGACAGAAGGATGGCATGGAGTTTCCTAGGGTAGAGGATCTGGTGGACAAGAAAGCCCCAATTCTGTGGCATAGCTTCAATTCAGACAATTTTGAACAAAATGTGTGGTGAGAACATTTCATCTA